CGACGACCGCCCCTACCCGGCCCTGACCCTATTCCCACCGGGTGCACCCGATCTTGGCTACTCACCCCCCGGAGGGGTACCCGATCTCACTCTCGCCTACCCGAAAATGGCTGGGCTTTTCGACCAACAGACCACCAACCAGCAGACCACGCTCACGAACACACGTGACCAACACCCCGCACTCGAGTTCCGACGCTTCCGACGGCGGGCGGAGGCGGACCCAACACGGCCTACGCGGCGGAACTCTCGTTTGAAGTGAATCATCAGTGGAACTCTAGGAATTCTCGTTTGAAGTAGATCTCGCTCCTGCAAGTAGATCTCGCTCCTCAACCCACCAAGTCTCTCGTGGTTAATCTCGGCGCTCGTGCCTGAACGGTAGACTGGCATCGGCAGAATATGAGCGATGAAGTAGAGAACACCGCGGTCCTCGCGCAAGGCGCGTGCTACTTCACCACCAGCCATCTTAGGACAGCGTTCATGCTGCGTGTACCACCACTCTCTCTATCTTTCCCCATCTCCTGTGGCAAGCCCGCAGTTCCTTGTCTCTCCCACGTACTCACAAGAGGTTGAAGTCAAGGAAGTATTATCGAGGTCCCACGGCATCCACTGCTTGCTGCTGCTGCATTACTGTACGATCCTCTTCCTACACAACAATGTGTTATATATCTCCGGTCTTGATCGAGACATAACCACGGCATCCACAGCTTGCTGCTGCTGCATCGCTGTGTGCGAACGACTCTCTGCGTGCACAACAACGTGTCATACATCTCCGGTCTTGATGTATGTGTCTATAGTCTACATGTATTCCAGACGAAAGCGACACCCTGATGGTTCTGTGCCTGATGCTTTCGTGGACATATCTGAGCTGCGTCATGTATTTGTGTGCAGCTCAAGTGATCACGTGAGGTATTGAGAGGTATTCATCCACCGCCGCCCGCCTGGCCATCTCTCTCCTCCCTCTCCGATACGAAACGAGAACCGAGAGAGTTCCGCCGTCGGCGGTGGGTTGCAGGAGCAGTCTTGCAGGAGAGAGATAGATCCACTTCAAACGAGAGTTTCGCCGCGTTAGCCATGTTAGGTCCGCCTCCGCCCACCGTCGGAAGCGTCGGAACTCGAGTGCGGGGTGTTGGTGACGTGTGTTCGTGAGCGTGGTCTGCTGGTGGTCTGTTGGTCGATTAGCCCACCCGATAATGGCCGGATTGGGGCCGGGTGTACCCGATATTGGCCACGCCTCGAAAAAGAAGATCTCCGAAATAATCAAGCCGGATGACTCGGCCTAAGACGAATGTGCAACAGTAAATATTCTTGGTTCTGTACCGAACCTGCTGCTCGAGCTGCTGTGCTTCCACGGAACCCCCTTGAATCGAGAGCAAAGTCGAACACTGCAGGAATATGGCCTCGCCACCTGCCGCGCAGCGGTGTATTCCGGGCGGGTATAATACTGACTTGCACGCGGCAGCATTTGACAACGATGATGAGCTCATGGATACCCTACTTTCCAGTGGATCGGCCGACATTGATCGGCGGGGCAATCCACGAGGCTGGACTCCGCTCATGGTCACTGCCGGTGAGGGTCACTCGCAAGTTGTTGGGATCTTGCTGAACAAGGGAGCGGACTTGTCGGTAGTGAACGATTTGGGTTCTACTGCCCTGTTCATCTCTGTTTCTTTTGGGCACGTACCTGTAACGAGGATGCTCGTGAATGCGGGCGCCAATCTCGAAGCGGCGGATCTAACGGCGGGGTGGACTCCGGTCATGATGGCTGCCTACATGGGCCACTCGAAAATTCTTGGGATCTTGCTAAACAAGGGAGCTGACTTGTCGGTGGTGGACAAGTGGGATGCTACTGTCCTGATCATCTCTGCTCGTTTGGGACACGTAGCTGCGACGAGGATGCTCGTGACTGCAGGTGCTAATCTAGAAACGGCTGAGCCACAGGGATGGACGCCGCTCATGGTGGCTGCCTACAACGGCCACTCGCAAGTTGTTGGGATCTTGCTGAACAAGGGAGCTGACTTGTCGGTAGTGGACAAGCGGGGTGCTACTGCTCTGACTATGTCTGCTGGTTATGGGCACGTGGCTGTGACGAGGATGCTCGTGAATGCCGGCGCCGATCTCGACGCGGCGGATTCTGCGGGATTCACGCCACTTCACATGGCTTCCGTCAAGGACCATTCCGAGGTAATCAAAACTTTAGCGAATAAAGGCGCAAACCCAGACAGCCGTATGCCTGCCGGAGAGACACCACTTTTCATGGCAGCGAAAAGCGGGCATGTAGCCGCCATCAGCGAACTCCTTCGTGCGAATGCGAACCCCTTGCTCGGTCGAATGGATACATACCTGCGGGGACGGATAATCCTGCCGCTGGATGCCGCGGTGATCTCAAAGCACGCAGCGGTAGTACGAAAGCTGATACAGCAACTCGGGATCCAAGGCTGTGGCGGTGCAAGCGCCGGCGCAGATGCTTCAAGATGGGCGGTACAAACCCAGCAATATGATATCGTGGTCATGTTGGCGGACACCGGAGAAATCGATACAGGCAGAGTCCTGATCGATGCTGCAAAATTTGGCAGCGAGGCATTAGTGAAAATCCTCTTGCAGCAGCAACGGGGGAAACACATGGACTGGGATACATACGTCAACAAAAAACAACCAGACGGTAGAACACCAGTGGTGTGTCGCATTGGGCGTGCCCTCCGATCAGGCTCTCCCAGGGTTCTGCGGCTATTTCTGGACGCCGGTGCTGACACGGCATCGACCGTTAGAATTACCAATAAGGAAGGAGTACAATTATTCAGAGGTACGCCTCTAGCTTACACGACCTGGCTTCTCCGTGATCAACAAGCCCGAGGAATCGACTCCACGAAGGGAGAGCCGTGCAGCCTGGAGGCCGTCCGTCGCATGCTGTTGCAACTTGAGGCAATACGCGCGGTCTCTTGGTGCTGGCAGAGCGATGCCTTGTCATCTATCGAACGAGCTGTACAGGATGGCAGGCCGAGAGCCAAGTCTAGGCTGACAGTGGACACGCCGCTGGGTTTGACACTACCAAGGAGGAGGAAGGCTCGGGCGCGTCGGGTACTCGTGATGGCCATGTCCAGGTAGATGGTTCCACCAGTTCTTTGCTGCAAGTGTTACAGTACTGTACACAGATTCTCGGCTTCATGTGATAAGCATGAAAAATTTGGTCAGATGTTGCTGGGAACGGCTTATGAGATTAAATGAGTTTGGTATAGCCCCTTTTGATTCTCACGCAATTGCTTTTGGTCGCCGCTGCCGGTGACGTTCGTTTTTTCACTGGGATCTCCAATATGCAGCAGTGCAGCTGTAGGACCCGCAATGCATATGACGAGTATAACACATGTTTAACTGGTGAGCAAACTAGACAACAGCAAGCGCGCACAGGCAATCACTCACGCGATCAGGTCAAAGGCTCTGCGTGGACAATTTGGGCTGACTATAGTGGATATGCTGTACACGTTCGCACAAGTACAGCCGGGGTGCGAATCCCTCGTGGACCATTTGTGACGCATTTTTTCCCGTCTGGGATACGCCTGAAAGACGGTGTACATTCCAGTCATCCAAGTGAAGACACATCTTCCCGCCTGTAAGTCGATGGACCGCATGGGGCAGCGCTTATGACAGGGATAACAACCCTGGGGTTAATTCTGAGGTCTAACAGCTGTATCAAGGTGGAGGACCCCCGTTGTACTTTGTTGTGTAGCATAGTGGATATGCTGTACACCTTAACATAATCTGATGGCCGTCTGGGTATGGAGGTTCTTACCCTTCATTCATCCCATATCCTCGTATTGGTGCTTCCTGCGTACTCGCCTATTTACAGAGCTGTGTCTCTTCACCTCGATTGGTCATTCTTTGTTCCGATCTCAGTCTTGACTTCTCAACCTCAACATATTGTACCTTACCTCCAGGCCCATGGTATATGACATTATATAGGATGGGGATAAGAGCCACGGGCAACTCGTTCCACCTCTCTGATGTTGTGTGTGTTATCTCAAGTAGCGTTTGAGATGTCCTCAGCCTCGACCACGAGATACTGGTATCAGGTTTTCACTTTTCGTGCCTGAAAGCACCAATATTCGTAAAAGTATGGCAGCTACGCACATCTGTCTTTCAACCGCGAAAGACCCCACCCTATCTCGCCCATCGGGAAGTCGCCGAGCTATCAAGAGAACGCCTTGGCTGGCTACTTCCTAGTGTTGTTACATATCCAGGAATGTGCATGATTCGTGAACGCTGTGTTCAATCTTTTCCTACATGCTCACGAATGGAAGTGTTCTTCAATTTCATATGGATCAGTCTACGCTTACACTAAGCCCACTGCCATGATGCCGTCGTCTCCCCGACTATCTTCGGTTGTTCGCACAGGTATTCGAGAAAACCGATGAGCTCCAGGGAGTACAAAAAGCAACCACGTGGTGTGCGAAGCATCAGTTCTCCAGTGCAAGAATTTCCAGCAGACAAAGCACCGCCGGCAAACACGTCAGATCGTGATGAGAGCTTGTGGAATATGGTCCTGATAGTGCTCGTGTCGATGTTTCAGATGTCCATCTGGTTCAACACCTAAAGAAGTATCACCAGCAAACCCGTCGGGCGTTGATAAGAGAATGACAACTGTTGCGTTGATAGTGATGGTGTCAATGTTTTAGGTATCGACAAGGTTGCCAACATGACGAAGGAGTGTTGCAACAATAGGCAACACGGCAGCGAACTAGGCGGAATCTCGCGTAGAAGTTTGTTCGTAAAGTGCACACTTTGTACACACGGGTAAATATAAATCCCAGCTATCCGTTTGCATTCATAAAGTAGGCCCATGTGCTCGGAGTGCAGGAGATGCCTCTTTTCGGGAATAGATCGGCTGTCACACCGTGTAGAACCTGCCGGGCGCAAAACAGCACATATATTTTGGAACCGTCACCCACGCAATAGATTTTTGTTTAGCCAGCCAAAGGGGCTTCAACAGAGTCTCCTGTTCTTTTCGTCGATTGAAGTTGGCCTGAACAGGTCAGCACGACCAATGACCGAGCCCTTGAAACCATCTGTGTACCGTCAACGCCAACCCTAACAATTGTCTTGCATCATCACGTGTGCAATGTGGAACCGTTTCGAACCGTAAGCATTTGTGAAAATTTTCGGCGGCCACAATTGCAAAACATCCACCTTGACAACTCAGATGAAGTACACGGAATGTTGGGCGCGGTTACAGCTGTGCATCAGCAGTACTACCCACATGCCATGTTCTTCTATTGAAGATTTCCGGGGGGGGGAGAGGTACCAGTTGTCTACTGCAGTTCCTGTTCAAAGCATAGGTTCTCCACAGAGGGGGGACCTGTGTTCGTTGGGGTACCTTATACGCGAGCTAGTATCCCCTCTTTTAGCCCCAAAGCCATGATCACACGAAAACAGGAAGGCAGGTTCAACTGTACAGGACCAACATGATGGAGCACCTACCCCGTTCAATAAATGCAATGCATAAAACGTCGTCATCTATCTTGTTTATGTAGTACACGGGCTGGACTAGCAGGGAGGGGTCTTAAGCCGCGGGGTACGACTCAATACCTGACAGTAGTCTATGTGCGATGCTGTGCGAGGCTAGAGACACGCTGCATCCAGGCAGCAACGCAGCAACCCGAACGTGCAATTCATACTTGCGGCGAATATTATTCAATGTCTGATCCTCCAAGACTGGTGCATCCACTCCAGCTGGAAGTTGGAAATATTGCACATCAACTGCGGAGGAGCACACACAAATGTTCGCCATCTGCGACGGCAGTACCGCCGAACGATCGGCACCTAACAGCACTGCCGCCGCCGACATAAATGAAGAGTGGTACTGACACGAGTGCACACTACAGCAGCAGACTAGTGCTTGCTGCTGCTAATGATTCCCATAGTCTCCATCTTATTTCCCCCATCAAGTACATACGTATGTCGAGATATTCCAAGAAAGGAAAAACAGCGCATCGTTCAGACTCCTTGTGGTGCAGCCAAAGAACCGTCACCACGTTGGTGTGGCTTCAGCCAGAGATTGGGCGCCAGGTTTGCTTTTACTGCTGTACTTTCACATACGGAAGGGGTCGGGCCACGGCGGGTGGGTGGATGTTTCTTTATCTAGACTATAAATAGTGTAGATCTAGTCTACGTGGGAGACATAGTCTACTGCTGTAGCTGAGTGTCACCTCCTCCGTGTCTCCTACTATGCGGCTATATAGTTGGCTTGGTATATACGTGTATCGATCTCCGATAGATTCGCCCCTCGGTAACTCCAGGGGTTGGGGTGAGGTCTCTCTTATGAATTTTGGGCACAAATTCTCCCTCCAAGAGAGCATCAATCCGTCGGTGCCCTTTCGGTTGGGTCGAGAAGGAGGGTTGTTTAGGACCCCCGGAAATCAAGTTTGGTGCCCTGAATCGTGTTGGAACAGGGCGATACCTTAGGCCTGTTTTTCCTCTCCTGGGACGGAGGGAAAAAAAGAACGGTCGCGGCTTCGCCGCTCCGCGGCTAATGATAACCAAGAAAGATGAGCGAAAAAGTCAACAACTTGTATTCCTGCCCTCCGGGGTACCTGCAGCAGTACCACGGGTGTGCGGGATTTCTTTTGTATTGCGACACAATCTCACCACCTGCTGCTACTCTGCGTTTGCGCTGCGCAGGAGGAGCTTCACCCCACCATATTGCCAAGGCGGCGCAAAACGAACGTGGGCAGAGAGACAGCGGGGAAGGGGCGGTTGGACACGCGATTCGGAGGTTGATGGTCTCGAGGCTGGGCTTGAGGACAGGTTCACCAAGACGTTATCGATGGCAGACGTGGTTGAAAAAACCACCCCAGCTGGACTGTGCCCATCATTCCTTGTGCGTGCGTGTGCTGTGCACTGCTCGCACTCGTGGTAGTTTAGCGCCGCGAATCTGCGAATCCTGTCGGTCAGAGGCCGCTGAATGGTCAACGACGGGTTGCGAGAACCCGGTTCACGCGCACATGCGCCTATTCCGAACTTGGCGCTATGGTGAATCTGCGGTGCTCCCCGCGTCGCTTCGCTGCTTGGCTACCTGTTCGCTCCCTCCGCCGCTGCGCTGCTGCTGTGACCATGGGGAACCTCATGTCCAGGAAGAAGAAGAGGGAGAGAGAACATGTTACCGACCAGGACAGAGCGGTCCTTGATCTCAAGAACTCTCGCGATCGGCTGACGCGTTACCAGAAGAAGGTAAGGGGGTAGTCGAGACTGCACACGGTGTACAGAGTAGATGAATACGCAATGCAACGCACTTGGCCGACTTGATAGTATCCACCGCAGTAGATGACAGGTCACAGATAAGATTGCCCTCCTGCCTGGTGCAACAAGTCTATTTCGTCGAGAACTGTGCATCTCAGTTCACAAAAATCTCGATTCACCCGGTCACGCCCTCCCGGTACAGCAGCAACCCCGTAGAAAATGCCAGGAAAGGTTCGTCTGTGAGCGACTACCGACGGCTTGATGTTACTTTTCAAGTCCATAAATAAATCGATCAGTGGGAAGCACAATTGGGGCGTTAGCGCTGTGAATACTACACCCAGTGAAACCAAGTGGCATGAGTTGCTGGGAGACTGGTTCCAAACAAAATTTTCCTAAGTAGTGCACCTCGGGGCAAGTTTGACCTGTGGATACATTTTGTTCAGTCTGTTCATGAGTGTCGAGTATGCCCGGTACATACACTGGAAGCGATAGATGCTTGCAGTGGCGAGCATGTATCGCCAGTAGTGTTGCTGTATCTTCGCGCAGGCGTTTTGCGGTGGAATAGCGGAAGAATGTGCTGTTGTTTTCTTCGCACGAGGGCGTGTATCAAGCCTCTAGACAAACTCGGAACAAGGAACTCGGAATTCCCTGCTGTTCCCTGTGTCATGTCGTTGGGTCCAAACCGCGCCACATGCAGCAGTACTCAGGCATGGGACACGAAAACACTTGAGAGTGCGCGTGCGGCACGCAGGAACTAGGAGGCAACTGGCACAACCAAAAGCGGCCGAAAGAGGAACGGTGTAGGTTTCGAAGCTGTTGACCAGCGGACATCATCTGTGCTGAGTATCAGTTACAACAGCAGGCGGTGCTCGTCGTCCAATCCCTTCCCTCGAGAGTGCCCTGGAAGGGTTGATTCTTGCGGTTGTGGTCAACGGCAACTTGTCGTCTTCTTTGGCACTCCTTCTTCCCCAATACAACAGCACGAGATCATCCGCTGCCGTTTTTGTGAGGCACCTGGTGATTGTGGGAAGGCGTATATCGCGCGAACCGGGCAGGAAAGCACCTGTGGCAAACGACGTATGCCCGAATTGATCACGCATATCCCACTGATGTTGCCACCTACGATTTCGTGTTCCACGTTCCACATGGTCCATTGGGCTATTCAGTTCATGTGCGTTGTATGCACCAAAAAGGAGGAACCTACGCAGGGGGGCGAGATTTTTTCCAGGAACGATCCCAGGAACGTTATTTGCTGTGGTGGGCCAATCAGAGAATAATTCCCGAGTCCCTCGGGTCCCCAGTTCCCTTTTTTTCAGGGGGGTTAGAGCACGCCCTGAGCAACCATTCCGATCGCTGCTCAACGAGATAAACCGATGGCAGCGGCACCCTGATCCTGAAGAGTCAAAATTCCAGACGAATAACAATAGAAAAATGTTCTTTTGGCGATTACCGTTTCAACCCCCGCCTCGGCTTTCGCTCCCCTTCTCCATCTTCTTTTGCTGGTAGTTGGACCTCGAATGCGGTAAGCTTCAGGCACAGGCTGCAGCGATGGTGAAAGAGAAGCGAAAAGACCGCGCGCTTCTTCTTCTCAAGATCAAGAAGTGAGCCCACATTGTGATTGTTTTTTCGTTGCTGCTTTTTCGGTCGTCCGTCCGCCCATCATCTTGCTGCCGTGCGGTGTTTGAATTTTCTCGCTGCTCGTGGTTTGTCCTGCCGTATATTGCACACCACGCCGCGATTGTTCCGCTACATGGGATGGCCGATCACGCTACCGCTGTGCTCAGTACATGGCTTCCTTTTAGTCAACAAACTTTGGGCCATGTCGCATCTCTCTATCTCGCGACCTATCTTAGACACAGCTACGTCCTAGCGATGTGTCTTCATTGCAAGTACTCTATTCCGGCCGTGGAGCCTTGTCACCCACGCTCCTGCCTCCTCGCCTCTTGTGCAGGGGGGGGGTCGACGGACGAAAAGATTCCAAGGCTTTTGTTGTCCTGCAATAAGACTGACCACCTTCCTGTCAGTTCAGATTCGGATGCATGCTGTTTGACGGCGCGCATGCACAACACACACACATTGGTGGTTTCATGGGTTCGCAGGCGGGCCGGCTTGAAGCTTTGGTGCATGTAGATATCTCCCAAAAGGTTGGATGAAGGAGTTAGTTTTTGGCTTTCTGGGCTTTTCTCATTCTTTGTTGTTTTTTTGCCCCCTGTGGGACCTTGATTGTTGCCCGTTTAGCCTGGCGCCTTTTCGTTGGCCAGTCAACTAGGGCGGTCGATGCCAATTCATGAGCCAGGCGCACACTTCTGCTCTTGCGAACGCGTCCCTTGCTGTTACTGTTTTGTTGGATCAATTTCTCTCGAATGCTACGCCGCGTGCTTCCTGTGTTTGCCCGGGGACCCTGCGGTTGCGTCCCCTTGTCTCACCGTCGGGGCGCCCCCTTCCTTATCTCACGCAGTGTAGTAGACGCCCTGCCTGCGCTTTGAGTCACGCTATCACACATCGCCCACGCCATGCCGTTCTTCCGCATCCTCCACCTAGTTCAAGCACACGTTGGGTATCTTCCTGTGAGCTTTCTTGTCGTGGACAACTTTTCTTGTTTAAATTCAGCAAGCATTTTTTCTTACCCGAGCCATTGCCTTTTTTTTGTCGTCAGGCTTAAGCAAGATCAAGCGGACAAGGCTAGCTCGCAGCTCCTCAGCGTTCACCAGATGGTGAGTTCCCTGTTTAGGCCTGCGTCGGTGGGAGTTCTGACGTGAAGTTTGGCACGGTGTGTCTTGACTAATGTGGTGGAGCGGTTTTGATCGTGCAGAAACGGTGCGGAGGATGTTAAATATCTATCGCACATGTTTTGTTTTCTTTTATTTTTTCCGGTGTTGTTGCCTCTCTCGGCTGCTCTTGCTGCTCGACGTGATGTTTCTGCTGTTATGCCCACGATCCGCAATCATGCCAAAGAGTACCCGGGAGTCTGCTCAAGATGTTCAGGAACATATCTCTATTATTTCGTCATGTAGCGGGCGAACCCGCACTTACACCCCCCCTACACCACCCCTCCCCCATGTTAGATGGACACCATCGATTGGGAGACGCAGCAGCTTCAGGTGTTCAAAGCCCTCAAGGAGGGTAACGTGGCGCTCAACAAGCTCCACGAGGAGATGCCCCTGGACAAGGTGGAGGAGCTCATGGCGGACACTGCGGAGTCCATCGCGATGGAAGAGGTCAGTTTTTTTCGTGTTCCTCATTGCCCTTTTGTACACTACAATAGTTACAGAAGCCGAAGTCAAAACGTGAGACTAGACTATATCGTCATCGCTGACGAGTCTCATGGTTTGATTTCGGCTGAAGTTAGTCATGGGTTTCGTGAGCCCCGGCACTTTCACTTCCGAGGAGGGTGACTCCCTCAACGCTGACTGCTCTATAGTGGTTTTGTTTCTGCTTCTATCTATATAGTGTAGCACCGCACTCTCTTCCGTTTTTGCGTACTGTTAAAAAACAGCTCGTGATCGGCGGGAAACGATTGGGTGCTCTTGCTTCTGTTGTTGCTGTTCGTTGGTGGTTTTACTTGGTGTAAACGGATGTTGCGGCCAGCACCAGATGAAGATGGCTGGTTACTGCGACGCAACGAATTGTTTTTACGAGAGTTTTTCGGGGGGAGGGGTGGGTAAAGTTCTATTCATTCAAATTCGATTTGGGCGTCGTCATATACAGCACCTGGGCCATGTCATCCGCTTGACCGGGGGATTCGCCCCCGCCTCTTGTTGAACGGTTTCCAAGCGTGGACAGACTGGAACAACGCGCGTGTGTGTATGCGTTGTTGTTTCTATGAAGACGAAATTGTGTTTTTTATGCATAAGAAAATGGAAGCCATATTGTTCCCCTATAAGGGCGATGGTATTTGTTTTCGCATGCAGTCGAGGTCGTCTACATAGCGTTCGCCCTACCGTTTTGATCCCCACATTTTTTCTCAAGAGTCACGCCTGTCGTTTCTGCAAACCCTTTTCGACAACGCCAACACAAATGCTGCTTCGCCGCTTTTGCTGGCTTTTCAACTGCTGTCCCGACCGCAGGAAATTTCCAAGGCCATCGGCGGCTCTTGGACGGACGCCAACGAGGAGGACCTCCTTGCCGAGTTGGCTGAGCTAGAGTCCGAAGCGGCACCAGAACCAGTTCCAGCAACGGAACCGGAACCAGCTCCAGCGACGGCATCAGAACCAGTTCCAGCAACGGCATCAGAACCAGTTGCAGCAGCGGTCCCCGCCGCCGCCGAGGCCTCGAAACCGTCGGAGGAAACTGCTGCACAGGAAGCATCCTCCCTGGAGGAGCTGTTGCCGGAGGCCCCAACGGAGGCGCCGGTGGTCGTCCCTACCGTTACAGATGCAGCGGAACCTCAGCAGGAGGAGGAGCGACCCACGCTCGTGCCGGCTTGATCGATATCATCTACGTGAAAGCTTGTTTTTGGTTGTTGTTTTTTTTTAAAGAATGCACAACTAGTTGCTCTCGACATCCTACATCCACAGAAATTTGTGCGGGATAATGCAGCGATGCGACGAATTTCATTGTGCTACTTGACCTACCTGTGTTTCTACTATTCCCGGAGCAGCACGCAGCAATACCTACCCTGTGGGTGACGGGCTGCTGCGTGATTTTTTGTTTCATTCTGCGATTGTCAGAGTCTGAACTGTTGCGTGTGGCGACTGTATTTTTATGTGTGGCGGCGGGTAGCAACCGATGCTCACATCACCGGCTTGAGATAGGTTCCAAGTCTCATGGCGCTGTACAGTGCGTACGATGTGTGTTTCGTTGCAGCTTTGTTTCTGTTTTTTGCACTCAGACTTGGTTTATTGTCGTATTGTTTTTCGAGCCAACTCTTGTGCCATCGCAAGCACGCACTTCGTTTTTTTTTCTAGATTTGTTTCGGGCTTTGCACTCCGACTTCGTTTTTGGTCCCTCTCCGTTTTCCGAGCCAACTCATGTGCCATCGCAATCCCATGGAATCTGAAATATCTCTCCTTCGAAGCGCAATACCGGCTGTGTACGTTACACACACTTTTCACCCGAAGGTGAAATGTCGTGTTTTCGTCGGTGGCCCGGTACTCGAATAACCGTGCAGACAGAGCGCACGCGGGGGGGGGTTGTTTTTTGCCAATATTTTGGTTGGAGTGGGGTGGGTCTAAATTTCGACTGAAACGCCCATTGGACACACTTCCCTCCTTTGTGAAAGGAACAATTTTTTCTGGCCTGGGGAGGGGCATGCCTCGTCCAATTGTATCTCGGCCATTTGTCGGTGTGTACCTACTAGAAGTATAATAGTTGCTTCCCGCCAGGTATTTACGCATATGCCTGTGAGGAGATCGTTGTCCATCTGCCTTTTTTTTTGCCCTTGCCGCGACGAAGCAACCAACGCCAAAGTCATGCTGTGCGAGATTATTTTTAGGGGGGAATTGGGAACACCAGCGATGAGAAAAAGGCCTTCGTGTGTTTCTGGTGTCGAAGGGGATGGGGATTGGGCCCGGGAGTCGGTGTGTTAGCCCCTCCAACAATGTATGCGACGATAATTAGTCATAATAAATGCGTTCCCTGATTGTTTTAGTCAGCACCATGTTGACTTTTTTCAGAGTCCACTACTCCTCATGTTATGTTCTCGTCGAAGCACACCTTGAGCTGATTTGATTTCCCACACACTGCAGTCAGCACCGAAAAAAATATGTCGACTTTTCGATGAAAAGCGGTGGACACACCCTATCCATGCCCGGTACCAAGAGCGGCGAGATTTCCATCTCCCGGCTCTGCATCAAGGGCTTTTCCCGGCGTCCACAAATGGCTAGAAAAAAAATGGTCTCGTCTAACCTCTTCAAGTATGTTTTGGCCGCATCTCGCCCCCCATTGCAAAAGGTACGAAAACGCCATTCCCTCACAAAGGCTGCGAAGACTTTTTGAGACACCTTTGGCAAAAGTAGAAAGGAACGATTGGCCATCGGTGATCGGTCCTGTGGGAATAATGCTCCGCCCTCTCGAAGACGCGTGGTCAAAGGTCTAACCGCTAAGGCATGCAAAACATAAGAGTACGCACCCCCCCCCCCACCCCGGTGTTTGCCATCGGGGTTGGGTTTTCGTCGCTTGGCAACGACGTTGGAAAACAAGCCAATTCACTTCGTGAACTCGGCAACCAGGTTACCG